GCGAAACAATTTGATGTGGTGCTACGCCGAGCCAAATGGCGTCGGGCCGGGATGGCAACAATTAGACTTCTGCACCGGCCCACAAAGCCCAAAGCCCAAGGTCCGGGCCTATTTGTGGGCTTTGTGGAAGTCTACTCTCGGTAGCCGCTGTCGGCTTAGAGTGCTCTCACTTTCTTGACTACTCTGCACTAGTGATGAGATCTCTCAAATAGTGTCTAAGCCCCGGGTACTATACATTGTGTTCTGAACTTCTATTGAGCAATACTATAATATGTTGAATTGAGCTGCGTGGGGGATTGCTACATGTGAAAAGCAGTACCAGTGAAAGACGTTAAATTGTCTTAATATAGCTTACCAACTCATCCTTACGCTTAGTTAGTTCTGAAGACTGCAGTATCTTTGTTAATAAATGGCGGTTCGAACATGTACCCGAAATAGTCCTACATATTATACTTAAACATTGTGACCGTCTCTATTCCCAACCCTCTGTAACTTAAAAATATACAGCAGCATTTATTTTCTACGGAAGTGTTCTCAAACTCCATTTTCCATCTATAATGTCTGCGATTACTTCTGTACAAATGCTTTTAGCCGGAAACATCTCAATTTCCTCACAAATGTAGTTGGCTACCTTTGTTATATATTGTGACAACGTGGTCCACAGTTCGTTGCAACGCCCCAGAACAGTAATCGCTGGCAGCTTCGGTATTGCTTCCGAGTCATGGGGGTCATAGTCGGATGGAGATTTGTGGACCGCAGGCTGAGGACGTTGAGTCTATACGAGTTAGAGACAAGACGTTCAAGTGGCCAAAAAACCAGCAAAATCTTACTATTTCCTGTTTAGTCGGTACAGCGACATCAGGGTGAGAATAGTAGGTATAGAGGCGGCCGTTCGGCATTTCCATAATTACCCAACTTTTGATTGAATACAAGCGCCAGAAATCATTGTGACGACGTAGCAGGTTATTGCGGCGCTTGCGCAGTTGCTCCTGTTTTATCCGACTTTCATCTGGCGCCATTTAGAAACTCGATATTGTTGAACTGCAGGAACAAAGAGATAGAAAGAAGCGATCCGCCTCTTATCCAAATCCAGATTTATATGGGTAGGCATATTGGTTTCTGAGTGACAGATCGCTTTTAGAGCCTCTGAAAATTTCCTGGCCGATTAGGAATCGGTCAAGTGCGTTCGTTCGTCTCTGCGCGAAAAGTCTGTATTCCGTTTTATTGGAATATCAACCAAGTTTGCAAACTAAATTTAAAGCCAACGTCGATTCATATAGCACCCATACCAGCCAGGGAAGGATCGTTCTCAAGGGAGGGGGAAAATTATCGGTATTATTGCACGTTGAAGAACTGTCGGTACGTGCATCATCCCACTGTCCGGACAACATGGAGGCGAAGAAATTGTTTGAGAGTCTGCTGTCCAGATTTCGATGGCTGCGGCATCTGGGCGATCGTAGGGTATCTGAGGGTGTGAGGTAGGTATTTTTCTGTTCACGTAGATGAGGCTGTGTAACCGAACTGTGTCGGCCTGCGAGGTGGATCAAGGTAGTCGCTATGCGCTGTGAGTGATATGAATGCGATAGGTGGTAATTATGGTGATTAATTTAAGGGGAGCAGCGGGATCAAATTGGTCAGGGCATATGAACGGCCGGACTATCTTGGGCGCTACACATATCAGCTAGTGAATGCTAGGTCAGCTAGAGTTGACGAGAAAATACTTTCACCCAGTTCTCTGAATGATGGTCCAATGGCTTCACGGTGGCCACATCAAAACTCAGGAACGATCTCTGCATCTGGAGACCTCGCTAGGCAACCTCATTAGGCCGTTTGCAAGCATCCATATCCTCCATCCTATATAGTTCCTGCATTCAGCTATCTTGCTGTAGCTTAAATCTTTGGATAGACCGTCGTCATCATCATCGGCAGAATAAAACACTCACAAACACACGGACGTACTTGAAAGAAGATTATAGTGTTGTGACTTGTCTCAATTCATTCTATCTTCAATTTTGGAACATATTTAGGAACGAGCTCCCAAGTCTCTCAGCAGCCGCACCATTTCTGCTTTATTCCATTTTTGTGCCCATTCTAAAGCAGTATCACCGTTCGCGTCCTTCACCTCAGTGTCTGCTCCGAGATGAATCAGAAGGCGGATTGCATTCGTCTTTCTCTGCTCTGTTGCCACGTGCAATGCAGTCCCTAGGCTCATAGGAAAGAATCGCATCAATGTCCGGTCATCCTGATACATTGTCGCGTTCAAAGAGGCACCTCTTTCGACGAGCAGGGAAATAACATCTTCAAGCTCCTCGTCTCGACAAACGGCATGCTGAAGAAGTTGTCCTTTCCCCATATGCCCTCCACGGTCTAGCATTAATTCGATGACACTCAGAGGTGCATTCCGAACAGCATAGGACAACGGGGTGCAGTCTACCTCGCATCCCATATTCGGGTTCGCACCATGTTCCAGAAACCAACTAGTCATCTCGGCGTCTGTTACCGCGTAGCTAAGACAATAGATCTCTTATCATTAGATTGTCTTTTCGGGTAGCGGAACCAACATACCAAAGCACAGGAGGTATTAAAACATCAACTGGCTCATTTACGTCCCATCCAGCTGCGAGAAAACATTCGAGAATGCGCTTCGCCTTGCATACTGTTGCCTTTCGAGCAAAAGAAGGCTTTATCAGGAAGCCATGAGAGAGAAGTATTGAAACGAATTCGACTCGGCCCAGTTGAATTGCTTCCATCATCACATCGTGAAGGTCCGCTATATCGAGAATCTCAGAGTTCATCGCGTTCTGAAATCCTTGGAAATTATTATCGGCGCACAAAGAACGCAATTTCTCAATTATGGCCGTTGCCGTTCCACACGGAATTGGGAACCCACCATGGTTGGTGAGTTCCGCTTCTGGGAGAAGCCAGATATCCATAGCACATTACTAAATTCTTCTTCGTCCCTGGGTTGGCCGTAGGGTTAATAGGAAAATGGGGCGACCGAGTCGTTTAATTACCCGTATTACGGCGGTCGATGCGACCAGTCACGCGCAATTATCATGTGGTTCGAGCCAATGCGAAAGGAAAAAGAATTGGGGTTCATCCGATTCGGGATAATCTGTAAAACTATGGAGGTGCGGAATGCGTGTGGCCTTACCATGCATGAAATGTTCGTCATATACGTCCTACAACCGCGAAAAAAAAGATGATGTCGTCAACAATGCACCATCGTCATACTATATCAGTGATAAACGAGGTGAAAAACCTAAGAGGGATATTGTGGCACTTGGTAATGTCAACACCAGACGCAGTCAAAACAAAAGGACTCAAATAACAGTTTAGTTAGTTCCTAGAGCCACTAGCTTATAAGCGTAACGTATAGCTTACTAGCGTTTATAGTGTATTACTATTATATAGGGCTATATAGGAGTGCTAGACTACTACTAGAGATAGGGAGGGTGGACGTTTAAGTATTCTATTAATTTTTACTTAGAGAGTTAAAAAGCTAGGCTTTAAAGGTTATAAGCTTTGAACCCTGACCCCTATACCGCTGCGAAGACTGAGCCTCCCTCCGGGCGTTCGATGGGGCCGAACTGTCTTGGTCGCAGGCGGTCGACGCTGAAATAGAAAGTCATCGGCAGGGTCCCAGTGCCTGGTTGCTTTGTAAGGCAAGGTGCTTATATCGGTATATCAGAGTTGGGAATAAAACATGCCGAAGACAGGTGCTATACCTTTAGGTGTCCCATGGACGGGTGGTCTGCCAGTTCTCAAGGTTAAGCCTACGGGAACCCCATCAGCGGGAGATCCCACAACCCCATATTTCTCTATATATATCATGGATGTACTACTTATCCCTCTCTATTCTTTCTCTTTGCTCCCACCCGAATCCTCTCTTCTCTATCTTTGATATTACCTGTGGCCTCTTTATTCTCTCTCTTTACTGTCACCCGTGAACCCAAGAGAAATTCTGGCCAAGGTGTTTGCCACTCTCCCAGTCGAGCTGGTAAGTCAAATTTGCAGCTATCTGCAGCCAGCTACCGAACTGGCAACCCCTCAGGTTATCACGCCCCGCATTTTACGCAAAATCCCTCGAGGCTTTTTCATATCGGTACTTCAAGAGCGTGCGCTTCAGTGCAACAAGTGACGGTCTCCATGAGCTGGAACAGATATCTAGGTCTGAGACTTTCCGGAACTGGGTTCAGGAGCTGAGGATGATACCGACTGCATGCGAAGGTGAATATGAGATGGAAGAGGTTTACTTCGGGGAGTCATTCTATGGAGTGTCGACGAGAAGCTGCCAACCGGCGAGGAATGATGAGTTGAAACCTCGTTATGCCGCATACCAAGCTATAGTCGCAGAGTATCTCAATATTGTTGGATCGGCAAAATTCATAGCTAGGATTTGCAAATGTTTAGCATGCTTTCAGAACCTCGAAACAATCGGACTTTCGCACTACTCGACATCATTTCTACACGATTTATGGCAACATACAGTTTGATATTCGATTCTCATTTCTATCTCTAACGTATCTTCGCTGGAGCCCAACACCCAGCTACAACGCTTTCCCACTATCATGTTTTTTTTTGCAAGCCCTGAACGGATCCAGCCGAAAAATCAGAAAGTTGTAGACATGCTGTGCTGACTATTGCGGCGTGGTGCCCTCAGAGCTCATGCTGACGCAAGCACAATACGATAGTCTTCTTGCCACTTTAAAAGAGCTAGAGCATCTCCATCTATGCATATCCTCTGCGCCGAAGCTAGGTGACAACCCGGTATCCCGGACCTGGATTGACCTTATGGTCAAATTCGCCCCCAGTCTAAGAATATTATCATTTTCGTACAGGAATTCAATAGATTCTCAGCCCCTTCAAAGCATTTCTCAAAAAATTGAGTTCCCACGACTTAGAGAGCTTCACCTAAATTCGATATATGTCAGTTCTGATGCCTTAAAAAAACATTTATCACCACAGCTAAGGCGACTCTAATCACTTTGACTCTCTGCATGGTCATAATTGCTGCCGATCAGCGTCCTGCCAATTCTTCTCATGGTGTTCTACTGTGACACCGTGTTTCCATCTCTCCAGAGGGTTTCCATGACAAGATCACATACGGCGTGAATGTGATCTTGATTCAAGGACTCGGTGACTCAGAGCCGAGCAATCATGCCGCTTATGATGTTGCGACTACCAAAATCTCGTTTACGAAATGGATCAATCAACTCACACCTATGCTGTCACAGACCTATCCGTGGATGTTAGAGGATAACGGTAAGTATTCCATGTTCTCTAGCGCCTTGAGGTTTGTTCTAATAATAGATATCAGTGAACTGGTTGAACGAAATGATACCTTGGAACAAAATGTCGCGAAATTCAATTGTATGTTCCTATCGAAATAGGTCAGCGCATTGTGATTATGGATATGAAAAAGTCCGAGGCAATGTTCTTCGATGGCGCAATAGCATTAAAAAGCCATTGTAAGCGCAATCAAACGATATCACGCAATTCTTTGGTGGCCAAGTAAAAAATAGGATCAGATTTTTGCAATAATAGGCTTTTGGCAGTAAATGGGCACAATATTTGAGTTGCTCGAGCTGGATAGCTAGATAGTTAGACTAAAATTCTACTTGACTTGGCCATTGTAGGTATGATTTGTAGGAAGTGTGATGCCGCACCTGGGCGCCTTGGTCTTAGTCATCCAAAATGACCTCATTTTCGCAAAGCGGGGCCAGGAGATTATTCTTTTGAAACAATCAGAACTCCCAGTCAACTTCTTTTCCTTTCGCAAACAATATCCTCTCAATCACTCCAATATGTCCGCCTCGTTCAAGATCACCGATCTCCTCCCCCTCCCGAACTCGACTGTTCGCATCCCGCGCCTCGGCTTCGGCGTCTACCGCTCCCCCACCAACCAGTGCGTGCAGTCCTGCCTGAAGGCATTGGACGCAGGCTACCGACACATCGACACAGCACAATTCTACGCCAATGAGGCGGAAGTTGGCGAGGCATTGCGCATCACCAGCGTGCCCAGAGATCAGATCTTCGTTACAACCAAGATTCTCAGCCCCGCAGCCTCGGTCGAAGCTACCTACGATAAATTGCTGGCTTCGGTGCACAAGATCGGCGGCGCGGAGGGATATGTCGATTTATTCTTAATTCACTCCTCCAGTTCGGGCTCTGCTGGACGGAAGCTTTTGTGGCAGGCGCTCGAGAAGCTGTACGCAGAGGGCAAGGCGAAGAGTATTGGTGTTAGCAACTTCGGTGTGGGGCACATCGAGGAGATGCGCTCATATGCCCAGGTGTTCCCACCTCATGTTAACCAAATCGAGGTTGGTGCTCTTGCTTCTATCACTACTCTTCTATCTACTGGGTAGTTGTTTGGTTTGATTACCACCACTGACATTCTATTTTTGCAGCTCCACCCGTGGTGCCAGCAGCGCGTCATCGACGAATACTGCAAGAAGAACGGCATTATCGTCGAGGCATATTCGCCCATCGTGCGTAACTATAAAGCCAACGACCCAGCGCTAGTGGAAGTGGCAAAGAAATACGGCAAGTCCACTCAACAGATCTTGATCCGCTATGCGCTGCAGAAGGGCTGGGTGCCTCTGCCCAAGACCGACAACCCCGAACGAATCGTGGCCAACGCGGATGTGTTCAGCTTCGACATCAGCGCGGAGGATATGGCCGTGCTGGATTCCTTTGACCAGGGCAGTGCCGGCGCTATCGTGGAGGCCGTGAACAACGAATGAGCGACCTCTGGAGCGTGCTCTTAATTACCCGGGCGCTTCGAAACCAATCAGGCCCGACCAAGCGATGCAATGTAATCACATTGTTCGAGGTCAATAATCCGGCGGCTGCATCAGGAAAGCATTGACAGATTGAAGCGTGGCTCGAGACGGATTCACGTCATGTTTTGACGACACGAGCCAGGCTAGACGCTGTCGAATGAACTGCTTGCCGATCGTCCGCTTGCTCAGTGAGGCATCGAAGCCGCCTGTTAGAAACAATTAGTTATTTATTCCTCTTCCACATAGCGTTTGAATCCATCACCCAGATCATCTGGGACATTGCATACATACCCTCGTCGTTATAAAACAGACAAACGATCGCCAGAAGCGTGCCTGCCGAAAGGTCTTTCCCATTCTCACAGGTAACCAGCACCGACAGTGACGAATCTGTCCCAAGACGGGCGCCGATAAAGTCACGCACCTTATCCAGACATTTCCGTAGATCCCGACTTCCCAGTTTCCCAGAATCACAGCCCAAATTAAGTCGCTTCGCATTGCCCTCAACAGCCGCAGCGCTCCCATTGCAGTCAATGACAAGATCATACCGACCTCCAGCATCGACGCCCGTCCCCGACCCAATGTACAAATTGCGCGTGGGAGATATGAGCGTCGCGTCCTGAGCCACATCCAGCAGCTTATGTTCAGCCACTAGTCGGTCAATAAGCTCCGGCAATTCGTCTTCGGGTGTATTCTTCAAAATAGCCTGATTAGCCCAGAAAACCGGCGGCGTCAGCCCATATGCCCACGCCTCGCTATCATCTCCCGCGCCTTGGATGTACCCGCCCTCAGACATTTCGGCGCCATGCACGCGCCTTGAAGCGGAGCATAGTACGAGTAGGTTATACTCATCGCCCTTGTGCAGACCCTCCGGGTGGAAATATGTCCTGTTGGCCCATGCGATCTGGATAGGTTTACCAAGTTGCCGGCGCAGATTGTCCAGATCGAGTTTTAGGCTCTGGGTAGTATCAGCCATTTTGCCCGGATGAGGGGGCGTGGTGCAATAGTTTGCGCAAGTCACGTTAATGTTATGCATGCGTACCTTTAGGGAATGCACGAATCCTTCGATTCGATTCTCGATCTGCGCTTCTTCCGATGCGCCCAGATAATTGGGTGGAAGGCGGACTGGATGGTATGCAGTCGCGGATGGGAACAGGGCTCTGTTTAGGACGGCGCTCCAGATTGGGACGGTTTTTGATAGTGCATCTGGCATCACTAGGGGTGGGTTAATAGAGCGCTCCAGGCTTAGCCGTAGTCATGGTATGCATAGCAATCACCAGGGTAGGGGGAGCGGAATAATTTCGAATCGGGGATGGTACAGGTAGAGGTGGTACATACATTTGCCTCGGCGAGTTGAGTCCACAATTACACAGCTGCAGAGTCATAGAAAATGCGGTTAGCTTTTATGTTCTTTTTATCCGCTCTTGGGATGATTATGTAGTGATGGAGTTGGCCATGGCTTATATTTGACAATTCAATGAAGGTCAACCAAAGGCACTCCAACACAGATATAAATCCACAAGCAAAAGAGGACAGTGAAAAAAAAAAGCGAGACTAACCCCCCATGGTCCCTAGCTAGTGGGAGCAACTGCAAGTTCAGCCTACGAAAGCTAAAATCCCACTGACCAGTGTGGCCATCGGTGCTTTTGAAATAAGCGCTGCCAGCTTTGGCCGTAGGCGGAATATACCAACTTCCGCAGCGCTCATTAGCAATCAGCGGTAAGCCATAGTGGTCAGAGACCTCTTGCGCAAAGGTGGCATCTGTCTCAATAGATTGGAGCCGATTGGCGACGGACAGCGCCGATCGACGCAGAGACGAAAGTGTCTGGGAGATTGACAGCTGCTCCGGGAAATGAAGGGACTCTAGGGTCGGGAAAGTATCGGACCCCATGCTTTCTCTTGCCTAAAGCTGCCAAGTATATTTTGAATTCAAATATACCAGGTTGTACTCCGGGGTTGTACTAGGAATCGTTTCAGGTCCGCGGGTACAAAATGACGATTTGACCCGAGATCTATTGAGGTCGTGCTGGTTTAGATTGATTTGATTTGATGAGGTGCTGTGTTGGTTTTTTTGGACTTCGGGTTGTGAAGGAAAGCCGTTGTGGAATTAGCAGGTGCGTTTGGGATTTTAAATCTGACCAATCATGGTGGTTGTATGGAAGGGGTGGACCCGGGTTCGTGCGATGTATACAAATAGTTGTCCTACATGGTTCCTGGTGTAGTAATGGAAATTTTGTCTATGAAGATGAAACATTGAATGATTGCTGGCTAAAATTCTAGGAAGTCTGCAATGTCAGATTCTGGACTGTCGCGCTCCGAAGATGATTACCTCGGGCATAGCTCTAGCATTGAGATGATAGACTAACCTTTTGACCATGTTTATAATATAATGAGGTATAAAGCATTCAAATCGCTCATTGCTCACCGGAACTGGAATAGTCTTACTCCGCACCGAGGTATAATTTCGGGTTTGTCTCTCCCATCCCGCCAAGCATGCTTTGAACGTCCAAGTGCATACTTGATATTATCTGACCGCGGCAGTTATTGAAGATGACACGGGAAGATGGACCAACGGGCGGAATATCGGGCCTGCATGCTGATGTATGATTCTCAATCATTCCGTGCCCCGGGTTTCTTTGCGAATTGGAGTTCGGCCTCCCCTTGGAAGACAGGGGAAAGACAATATGAGAAGACGGAGCCATGACCGTGCATGAGTTCGGGCCTACGGAGTAGTAGGCTTATGTGTAGTTACGGAGTAGTCGTATCCAGTGCCCGATTGCACGGCCCATATGCATGCAGTGTAGAATTTTGTACACCCTTAAACATCAGGTGATAAAGTAACTTGCATATAGAAGTCACTTGAGCAGAGTCTTAAATAAAGTCACGAGACTGTATAAGGCAAATTTTAAACATCTTTGATTGAAACCGGTGAGAACATGCGAGAAGATGCGAGAAAACGCAAGGTGAAACTATCTCACCTGCCCGGAGTAGAAAGGGGATACTAGGATGTAAACAGACTAGCGCACTATATTAACTGTGCTTTGATTGGCTAAATAGATGGCAATACCCCTAGGCTGGAGGTACCGGATACCTGCTTTTACACCATGAAGTAGGCCAAGCCCAGGTATCCGGTACACAGTAGCCCCCCACGTCAGTGAGGCCCCTCCCGCTCTGGCCCGGTTTCCCTTTAGGGATTCTGATTTCGGCGTCATTTGGGGTCAGCTCTTGCCTTGGCTTAAATACTTCAGTCGCCTAATTTTCTTGCCTTCCCAAGCATCCCTCTTCTCTTTTTACACTCTCCTAGATTGTACTAGATACTTCACACATTGCACTTCTACTCGCTCAATCTCAACAAACAAACAATACCCCGGATCTAATCTCCGTATCTTCATCATGGGTAAAGTACGAGGATCATTGTATTTCCCATGAGACCTGCCGATGCTAACCGGGACTGTAGATCACAGAAATCTTCTTCGATTGCGACAACACTCTGGTCCTCTCAGAGGAGCTGGCCTTTGAGGCTTGCGCCGACCTGGCCAATGAGATTTTGGAGGTGAACAACATCCCCGACCGTTACACTGGCGACCAACTCATCAAAGACTTTGTCGGCCAAAACTTCCGCGGTATGATGGTCTCCCTGCAGAACAAATACAACTTCGAGATCGAGCCGGAGAAGCTGGAAGGATACGTCACGAAGGAAGAGGACAAGGTCATTGCCAAGCTGGAGGCCAAGGCTAGGCCCTGTATCGGTGCCAGCGAAGAGGTGGAGAAGCTTTACGCGTCGAAGCAGTATGGTCTTGCCGTCGTTTCCTCTTCCGCTTTGCGCCGAGTGCTCGCTTCCATCAGGAAGGTTGGCCAGGACAAGTACTTTGACGAGGACAAGGTCTTTAGCGCTGCCAGCTCTCTGCCGAAGCCAACCTCCAAGCCCGACCCCGCTATCTACCTGTATGCTCTCGAGCAGGTCGGCAAGACCGCTGGCGAGACTGTTGCCGTCGAGGACAGCAAGTCTGGCGCTCTTTCGGCTGTTCGTGCCGGTATTCCAGTCATCGCCTATGTTGGCAGCTATAACGGCGAAGAGACACAAAAGGAGATGGCTAAGGCCCTGACTGACCTTGGTGCAAAGACTGTCATGTATCACTGGTCTGAGTTTGAGGATCGTATGAAGGATATCGAGAATAGTCTCGCCAGCGATGTTCAGTCAAGCCTTTAAACTTTTGATGACGCTTATACGCCCATGATGTTATGATAGCGAGCGTATGGTCATTAGGGAGCTTTTTCTTTCTATTATTTCTTTGTTTCTCTTGACACTTTCTGTCAAAAGGTGCTTCCAATTTCCTTTGACACAAGAGTGGTCTTTCGTGACGCTGGACTGTGTCCGGTTATTGCTACTTTCTTCTTTGCCTGGTGCATTATTCTTCAGTATCTTCCGTCTTTCTATAGACAGGTTTTGATGCGCAATGAGATACCATTTAGCAATGCCTTTGGCTCAGTTTACTGTATATTGTGTAGAGTATTCCAAGCATTCTTTCATAACAGCAAAGACCGATAAGATAAGGGCCAACCCCGCCATTACCCCTCCTGACCTCGGGAGGTCCCTGCCCGGAGTTGGGATTGGTTGATCTTTAGTCTACTCCATTGGAATATATCATTCAATCTATACTTACCATTTCAATCCAAATGTCAGCTCGCACTCAGGCCAAGTCGAAACTCGTCTCGCGGGGACCATTGGTACGTTACTCGAATCTTTCTAAGGGTCTATTCAGCAATTCCCAGTTTACGATGTATAATATAGAGTTGGGATGATACCATTGTGCCAGCGCATGACTGACGCGTGCTTCCAGGACCCCAACGAGGCTCGCTGGGCTCGAATGGTCAAGACAACATACACTGACCCCCTTGGTGTCGAGCGAACATGGGAATCAGCTGAGCGCACGGTAAGACCTACTCCGCCTTTTTCTGTGCTTATCTATGTAATGCGCGCTGTTGGTCGATGTCCGGGGTATATGTACCACACCCGGTGTAAGTATTCAAGTGACATGCCCCTGGGGCTGCCACGAGAACCAACTGCATGATAGACTAAGATGCAGCCTCATAAATCATGAAATGATGGTTCGCATTAGCAGGGCTTCCCACTCCCGGGAGTCCCTGCTCCAGGTGGCATGTACCCGGGTGTTGACCTGCGCCGTATCCACCAAGACTACATGACTATTGGTTGCCTTACAATGTGTACTGGACGGATTGGTAGATCTCAGTTACCACCCAGTTCAAACAACTTCCTAGACCCTCTGCTTTTAGAATCTATATTTTGGATTTGATGCTAACCGCGTTTTCCCAGACTCGCCCTACCGGTATCGACCTTGATGGTGTTGGGATCGTCGCTATTCTGAACAAAGATAGTGGCTCGGAGCTACTGCTGCAAAAGCAATACCGGCCCCCTATTGATGCCGTTGTTATTGAGGTTCCCGCGGGACTCATCGATGCGGGTGAGACGCCTGAGCAGTGTGCTGTTCGTGAACTTAAGGAGGAGACTGGTTATGTTGGCGTGGCGGAGCAGACTAGCCCATTGATGTTTAACGGTATGTGAACAGTGACTGTCAGATTTGTTGTCTTTTCCCAGTGATATTCAACGTTTTGGGGAGCTGAAAGCTGACAAACATCTGTGGTTTGATCAGACCCGGGACTTTGCAATACCAACTTGCATATGGTCCACGTCCGGGTCGATATGTCTCTTCCCGAGAACAAGAACCCAAAGCCTGAGCTCGAGGATAATGAGTTCATTGAATGCTTTACTGTTCCTTTGAGATCGTTGTTCGACGAGATGAAGAAGCTTGAAAAGGAGGGTTATGCTATTGATGCCAGGGTTGGAACGCTAGCTGAGGGGATTGAACTAGCAAAGAAATGGAGATTGTGAGCTAGTAAATCGTGTAGTACCCCACTGGCTTATAGTACCCATACATTGATACAAACAAAGCTCTATTGCATACAATCTATAAGCAAACATCTCGCCATATCCCTTTCCTATCCCCCACACGTATATGTTATCCCCAATCAAAGCAACCCGTCCTGCTTCAACCCCTGATACAAAGCCCAAGCAGCCAAAGTCTTCCCATCTCTAAGCCCCTCCTTCCACAGGTCCGCCAAAGGCACAATCTTAAGCGTAATTTTCTCCCCGTGTTCCCGCAGCCCGGTCAACTTGCCCTGTAATTCCTCAATCTCCTTCCTGGGCATAGACTTCTGACATAAAAACAATGGAATGAACTCATCACTCCCTCCAGGTGACGGATAAACCGCTTGCTGCAGGCGCTCACCATAACCAGGTTCCTGTGCAGCCTGCAGCGCCAGCGAGGTCATATCAATCAAATCCCCTTGTTCAACCTGCAAACCCGTCTCCTCTTGGATCTCCTTCGCCGCACCACCGGCAAACGTCCCGCTGTCATCGAGCATCCCAGCCGGAATCTCTGGAAACGCTAGCGAACCCGCTGGAATACGAGGCTGAATAGTCAGAATAGCGTGCTTATCATTTTCAGTCGGAGAGGGTATATCATCCGGTTGAAGGATGAGCTATTCATAGAATTAGAAAAGAACAAAACATGTTTATGCTTTTGAGTGGTGGGGCCGAGGCGCAGTATGTATTCCTTTTGCCCAGATGTAGACACCTTTGCACAGGGGAAAAACATATCCTATCGAGTAGAAATGTTTGTGGGTGCAACTCACTAGCATGCCAACACTGCCGCCCCGCAGGAATACGCTGCCGGGCAAAGTCTCGCCCTGGCCATTTGATACCTCTGCTTTCAATTTGATGAAGCCTAATCGCCCGCCACCGAAGCGGTCGATTGATTGGATATCAATTTTGCGTAGGACATATGGGTCACGGTGGAACTCGTGTGAGGGATGTTCTTGTCGCGCGAGGGATTGCTGGAGGGTTGTTATCCAGACTTTGAAGGCTGGGAATGAAAGTAGATCATTTTGGCTTAGGTCTGGGATACTATTCACGTTGAGGTTTGAGCCTGGGATTGTGAATGTTGACATTTTGCTTGTTTTTGCTTTTGCTTTGGTGATGCCGATGGTTGGTCTGTGTGTGGGGATGGGCTGTGTTTGCTTTAGGTGTCGCGCGGCAAGGCGAAAGGAGTTCATTAATTCGAGTTTGGTCGGATGTAAGCCCTAAATTGGAATATTTTACGAGGGCAGATTGGGATGTGAGTATCTTGGACGCGCACATGTGGATGTTCATTGTTTTGTTTCTATGACGTCGTTGAGTCTTGATCTTGGCCCCTTACCGGACACAAGATATATATTTTAGACATTCATAACTAAAGCACTCCTTTTAAATAATTGATTCTGCTCTTGAGAAATTGTTACTTCAAATGTGTCGTGAATTCATCATGGAGCCTTTTCACAGCCTTGGAGCTATCAGCCCCGAATTTCATATAGTTTCATCTTTTATTAGAAACACTAGTGCATAGCTTCGTCTATGGAGTACTAGTTTCAATAAATGGGATTCAGGGGTCAATTCTATCAGCATGGCCCCATACCTGCCATCAGCCATATATCATCTTCCGTATTGTAGATTCGTCCCAAGTCCCTTGATTCCAATGCACATAGAGAAATGATTTGAAGTCACAATGGTAGGTACGGTGTTTACGTTCTAAATGCCAATAAGAACCATAACCTGAGTCTCACTTCTGTTATTCTTGCCCCCAAATGTACTTGAATTTGACAACACATTCCTATCAATGTAATCTCAGCCTTTTAGCCTTATAAGCAGTGTTCCAACTATTCATTTGTCAATGTCCCCATATTACAGACGGTGTGGATCAGACTTTTGGTCTATAGCCATACAGAAATATACATACCGGATTGGTCAAGATAAAGTTTTCGACATGTTGCAGCTGCAGACCGACAGCCTAGAAGACTTCCAAAAGACTCATGGTTTAGTCTCTATAAGTAATCTCTATATAGTTAGGCGACAGCCTGTATACTGTGTTTTTACTTTTTTTGTGAATTTCTGTATTCTTTGACTATGCACAGATAGCTCGGGTTCAGAGAGGTGACATCGATGTCACACGAGCTCCGTTGGGTTCTAAAGAGAAAAAAAAAAAAAAAAAAAAAAACAACTAGAAACCTGGAAGTGCTTGAAAGAAAGTATTTCGGCTAGAGCAGGAACATGTGAATTGCGGTCAGCACTATAACCCGCTGCCTAGTTAATCTGCTGATAAGGTCATAAAAGCATCTATGTAAACATGTCTATGGCATCTGCCCTACTCATGTTTAAGAAAAGCAAAATGTTACCCGGGCAGTTTAGAGGTCAATCAATCAATGGTTACATGAATTTGCCCCATGTTCTAAAGGTCACATCCACCATTCTCCAAAATAGCGCAACCTCCTGGATTATCTGTAGGCAAACACCGAGAACCGAGAGCATCTGATTAAATCACGAATTTGGAAACTCCATAATCAGATGCACAAAAAGCCCATCACCAATCGCATCATATTTTGTAGCCGACACCCTCCTTCTCCATGCAGTGCAAGAGAAGATCCCTACAGAGTAGATCCCTGAGCTCTAGAAGTCACATAGAACTTCACCCGGGTGAAATCTGCAGTCCATCCTTCCCCGCTCCGGCAACGCTAGCCCTCGCATGTTGCATGCAAGTTTATTGCACTAGCATTAGATTGTCAGAAACGAAGTAGATACATAGCAGACTGCATAGTCTACACTTGCTCAGGCAATTTTAATCTGGGGGGGGGGGGGGACCAGAAACAGAAAGTTCACCCGGGTGAATGAGTGCGCCCACTGCGCTGGGGTCTTTCCTGCCTTCTCCCGTGTGGCTTGCAACTATCACATCATCACTCCTTGCAGCGGCTATGATTTAAGTCCCGGCCTGGAAAGAGAGGTAATGGGATGAGGGTTAACGGGACTAGGTCCCTTTGTTCCGGGTGAGTGGAGCGCGTAAACGATTTCTACGGCCGCTGCCTTGAGAAATGCGACCCGGGTGGCAGGTGGCACAGGGGTTAAACAAAACAACAGGTTGCTTTGTTAGATCAGAGCATATACATATCTTATTGGATATCTAGCTAGATCCTAGGAGTGCTGTTTTTAGACTAGGCCCCTTAAAACGCGCTCAGATTATTACGGGCGCTAAATAGGCTTAGGCTTGAGATTTCTGTTATTGACAAGCTGAGGGTGACTAACGTCGTCATGCCAAGCCACCCTTAGTTTTGGTTTTGAGTAAAGGTTTGGGGATGTTGTTTACGACGAGGGGCGGCTGATGAGTATTTCAATGGGAGCCTATATCCTGGCCTGTTTTGCATTTGTGCTAGCCCCACTTACTTTGGATATGAGTGGTAAAGCTACTTCATGTTTAGAATTATGTATTACTGTATCTTAGCTCAGGTACTCGGTATAGATGGATATAGATGGGAAATATTAGGGAGCAGTATAGTCCCTGACCATAAGTCAAATATCATTCAAGTCGAGTCATCACCTGAGCATTTTGACCAAGACCATGGGGTCCAGCACTCGTAGATATCCCGTGGGCAGCCATACATCGACCCATTTGCAAGTTTTGTTGCATGATTGCACCTCAACCGGAAGTTCAAGGAACCCCATCCACTGGCGATTTAATACCTGAGTGCGCAGAATATAGCGTCCCCTAGAATGTGAATCAAACCCTAGAAGACCAGCCATTGATCAGAAATTGCCTCACCTGGGTGAGCCAAAGAGGAAGTGCCGGATTGTTCACTTCGTAGTCAATGCTCAATGGCAACCCGAAATCGCTCTAGTTAACCCGGGTCACCCTAATACCCAGGTGGACGAAGAGCAACACAAAAGCTCTTTGGCTAGAAACGCCATGGTCCTTGTTAGAGCTTGGTCAAAACAACCGGTGTGCTTAAGCTCGGTAATAGTGACAAAAGAGCGGTGACGGGACAAACAATGCCCAAGGGCTGCAAGGATAGGCGTCGGGACTCCAAAGAATTTTCCTAATCATCAGGCGGCGCATGTCATATCTGTTGGGAAACAATAAGGACAGTTGTTAGGCAATGACGGAGTATAGAGTTGAACTGTACCAGTGAGGCAAATAATTGAGAGATCAGCCGTTTTAAATAAAACCTATTTCAATTTTTTTACCTGGATGATATGGCCATAGAAAAAAGTGAAGCGAGTGATATAGCTCAGGGTACCGTTGAGGAAAAAAATTTGGACTTGGCATGAGAGGCCAAGGTGTTCGAACGTTCCATATCGGAGAAAAAACAATATAATGAAAGGCAACCAGTAAACCTTGAATGACGAAAATACCCTGCGCACAATGATAGGCCCTTGATCGGCACACATACAGGGCTAGTCTCAACCACTCAGCTGGGTAGGCTGCCTTGCAGCCATCTGGGAATTCTAGTTTCCGTATGCATTTGCATAAATATAATCATTTTCCCCTCTTTTTATACCCAGATGTGGATTCTAAACTCTCATCTCTTTATTCCGGGTACGTTGGGCACCCTAATGACTCAGATGATAAACTAATGTTCCCTAGGTTGAAATGGGCGAGCTGTGTAAGGAGGCAAGGCCTCGGCGTTTTTACAGGTTGGCTGCCAAGACTCGACTCCCAGACATAGTCCGTAGCGACGTGTCACCTAGGCAAGTCGATTCCTTTTATTACTTAAATATCTTTTTAACTGTTTATAAAGGCGATCTATTAAAAGATCATTGCCAGAAGAAAACTCTGGATCGATGGGTACCCACGGCTGCTCGGCCAGGCCACCAATAGGTGTTCGGCCCAATTCGACCGGCGTCCTAGGAGACGATTGCACTATGGAAACGCTCAGTAGCTGCGACGCACGAGCTCTCAGAAGTCCCACTCGCACCAGTGTAGGGCATGTTGACAAATCTCGTCGCCCGAACAGCTTCTGGGTCTCCAGAGAGCCTCGGCGGTTGTCGGCGTCGGCTTCTCAGCTAAAACCCGACGTGCCTCAACTAAATGGATGCCTCGCAGATCAGAAGGCTGAGAACAATGCGCCTCAGCAGGAAGAAAAATCGCAGTTAGCTCAAGGTTTTACGACACGTCCAGAATTGCAAAGATCACATTCAACGCCCATTGCTGTGCACGGTCAAAATGCCGGTGGAATTCAGAAAGTTCCTCACACCATACAAGCGCAAGGGCAAAAATTATGGCATACAGAAAATGTTCAACTATTAAAGCAAAATGTGGAAATAATGGAGGCAACGGAAGTCGCTCAGGAAGCAAGGCCTCATGAAATGTTTAGGCAACCGGATACCCACACCATCACCGAAGAGCAACTGATCAATGAAGTGCGGGGAATCTATACAGGCCTTGTCATGGTGGAAAAGAAGTGCATCGAGATCGACAGGCAACAAGTGCAATCAAAGGCCGAATTATCACAGGCTAAGTGGCAAACACTCGTCTCATTACACCGAACACTACTTTACGAACACCACGACTTTTTTCTCGCTTCCCAACACCCATCAGCTGGTCCTGTTCTCAAAGAACTGGCTGATAAGTACGCAATGCCGGCGCGCATGTGGCGTTATGGAGTGCACTCATTCTTGGAGCTGTTGCGTCAGAAACTCCCCGGCTCGATGGAGTATATGCTCGACTTTATCTACCTCTCGTACTCGATGATAACATTGCTGCTGGAAAGCGTGCCCGGTTTCAGAGAGACTTGGATCGAGTGCCTGGGTGACTTAGCGCGGTATCGCATGGCCGTAGAAGAACTTGACAAGAAGGATCGCGAACTCTGGGCAGGGGTGTCGAGGTATTGGTATAATCAGGACGCAGACCAAAGCCCAGAGAACGGCCGCATCCAGCATCATCTTGCTGTTTTAGCACGCCCAGATGTGCTTCAGCAGTTTTTTCACTACACGAAAGCATTGATCAGTGTACGCGCATTCCCAAATGCTCTCGAGAGCATGACACAGCTAGTCACTCCTATCATGAATCAGGACCAGAAGCACAACTTGATAAATTCGTTCGTGGCTGCCCACGGTGCGCTTTTTATGCAGGCTCCGGTCGATAAGTTTGTCTCTCAGGCGAACATGTTTCTTGCTACTCTACGTAAGGAAATTAGCCGGGTAAGCCGACACGGACAGCAAGGTGTCCAACTTACGTCTTGCAATATCGCTGCGATATTTCAATATGGGGGCAAAAATGGAGTGATGGAAACAGATTTCACAGTGAAATTACGCAATCCCACAGCAGAAGATCGCCTAGCGGCAATGAAGTGGGCATCTAATGCAACTGCTGCAAATCCTACCTATCCCACATATAGCGACCTCTCGTCCCAACTTGCATTCCGGGCGAGCTCCCTCGCTTTTCACACATTAATCGTCATGCTCGGCCAAATCGGTGACCCAAACATGTATCCGAGTGTGCACATCTCTATGGCATTTGTGTGGTGTCTCACACTCAACCCAGCGGCTATACAACGACTAGAGCCATTGGTTCCGTGGTCGCTACTTGCAAGTTATCTCAACACCTTGTTCCGTCCCGACACAATCATTTCGAAGATTGAAGACGAATCATTCCCGCTTCTTGACGACTCTACTACACAGCAGCTACCGGAGGACTTTTTGATCAGGGGACAGGCATGGAGCCGGCTTTATTACCCAGAACGGTTCTTTGAGGGGGCTCCTACAGAAGACAATAGACCATCAACAGAAGAACATTCGACAGTGATACCCAGAAGACATCGATGTCTTTGGCTTGGAGTACGGATCGCGACTGTCTGTTTGCCCCTGTGTTATGTTCCTATGCGCACATTTAATACTGACTATATATCTCGTATTAGTACAACCGCTGGATGACCTACGACCAGACACGACGGTTCACGCCCACCCGATTAGCAGAAGAATTTGCGCCAATCGCAGAATCCCCCGCTTATCTCTATGGTAATCCTTATTCACTAGGAACTGAGACATCATCCTTCGAACAGGAGATGCAGGAAGCTTGAAAACGCGGTTGGGTGACTACTGGCTTTGTTGGTGGCTCCGTTGCGGCGTAGGCTGCGCGCCTTGACGGGGATCATTTCGGGGCTGGTAGAAACCTGGGGGTTTCTGTTTTTTTTTTTTTTTTTCTTGTTCGAATCAGTGCTCAAGCCTTGTTGAGCGCGAATCATTCCTTTGGGCCCTTTCCGTACACGAAGCCAGAGAGTGGATCCCTTTCTTGCGTTATTACCAGACTGGAAATCAATGAGTCGCCATGACTACACGACAGATATCAGATATCAGATCACTCTCTGGACCCACCCTGGAAGGCCTGCCTCCGCCTGGACCACTCTCCAAGGACTGGACCGTTTGGGATCTCCAAGGATTATCGCATCCATTGCCAAGGATCCATGGGAACTTAGCCTGTCCCGGGATGCTCTCGCTTCTGTCCGTTTGGTCCCATACTGATTGGAAACCTAGCCTGTCCCGGGATGCTCTTGATTTTATCCACCCGGTTCCATGATGATTTGGAAGGTTCGCAAGCCTTTCTGATCAGTTGTTAGATATTGGACTATGCCATTCCACCATGGTTGGAATTGTCCTTTTGAAAACCAAGACTCCTGCTTCAATTAATCTCTTGGTTCGGGTTATCGCGTACCCCTTCTATCCAGAGGGGGCACTCGGGGTTATTAGAAATAAGTCATCCTTGACTTATCGATGTGTTGTTTTGGAATTGCTATTTGGAGGAAGGATTGTTGCAAGTATAACAGAGGACACAAGGTTAGGGAAGCAAAGTGCTAGGATGAAGGACAAATTAGATGATAAGAGAAGGAAAGTATTTGAATAAAAACATGGAAGCTTTTAGTGTCAGTTCCTTCCTATTTAGGAAGTGTTTGCATATAGTATATGGATACCTATGTATGTATACATACCCGCGGGATCGCACTTGTCCATTACTCACATACTTTGTTGTCACCGTCTTTATAGCTTGTGGATAGCAGCATGGCCAGCAAATAGTCTGTAGGCCATGATCCTGTTCTCTCTGAGTCGGTTTCCTTTGCTACCTGTTGCTAGAGACAGTCCTCTAGCTTTCCCCACCGATGAACATTCTGAAAGCGCATATTCACAGTGAGCAGCGCCATCTGATAGGGAAGAACCAGCTCTTGTATGCGGCAACGTCCATTCAATGTTCCAAGAGGCCGACCTATGCGATTCGGGGTAAACACGTATACATAGGTAAATGTACTACAATATACGCGAACTATAACATGTTATAAAAAAAAAGTGTTTATAACATATAATATAGTATAGTAGAATATATAAAATGTACCAGAATATAGTAGAATATAGCTATGAACCGTGACTCCCGGATGTGGATCGGATCCATTATCGGCTTGCGCGTTGCCGATAAAAGGCCAAGCTGGCGATTATACATTCCTCCCCCTCCCTTCTGCCTCTTCAAATGGGGAGGATCATTCTACCTTACCTCCATGAATAATCAATTTCTTTCTCAGACCTAAGTGCTTGCCTTCTCCCTTCGGGCATCACTCACGTCTTTCCCATTCCGCATCTCTTCCGTCTCCGCATCTGACGTCCAGCTCGTCACTCTCCACAATGGCGGCAGCTTGGGGCGAGGTCTGTCGCCAATGCGTCAATACTGCGGCAGAAACCCCAGTCCAGATCTTACTCATTGCTGCCCTAGCCACTTTGCTGGGACTATTTGTTCTAGTGAGTCCACATTTCCCTCGCTCCGCTTATACCAGCCAGATCGCGCGGTGGCACTCCAGACCGTGTAGCCCCAATTGCAATTTACTAACCTGCCAATTCTTCTTGCAATCATTTAGTTCTCATTATTCATATTTTTCGTTGCGCCAGTCCCACGAGAAGCTCTACCTGAAGAAAAGAAGTATAGAACACTCGCCAAAGATGGATCCGTGACAGACCCCGAACCCCTACCCTGCTGGCTCGAAAGCCTAGACACCAAAAAGAGCACTCACAACTCCACCCCAACCCACACAATCGCACCAGCCGAGCTATTCATGTCCGTGGTGGTACCAGCCTACAACGAGGAAGACCGGTTAACCGGCATGCTAGAAGAAGCCGTCAACTACCTGGAGCACATGTACGGGCATACCGCCAGTATCATCGCCCGTGCTAGCAGTCCAGGCACAATGGAGACGCGCTCAATGCGCAAACGCAAGCCGAACGGGGATATCACCAGCGACGCCGCGGGCTCGGCCTCGGACCGCGGCTGGGAGATCATCCTCGTCTCCGACGGGTCGACAGACCGCACGGAGGAAGTGGCATTCCGGTTCGCGCGCGACCACCAGCTCTCTCTACACCCCAAGGGACACGCGGGTCCGTGGACACCCAAGGCTGCGGAGGGCGTTCATATCCCGCCGGGCACGATCCGCGTCGTGAATTTGACTCATAACCGCGGCAAGGGCGGCGCGGTTACACACGGTATGCGCCATGTCCGTGGGCAGTATGTTGTCTTCGCGGATGCGGACGGGGCGAGCAGGTTCGATGATCTGGGCAAGCTTGTTGGGGCTTGTCGGGATGTAGAGGATGCGAAGGGGCGGGCGGTTGCTGTTGGATCGCGGGCGCATATGGTTGGGAGTGAGGCTGTCGTGAAGGTATGATATTTGATATCTGGGTGCTGGCATGCTTGCGAGGTCGATTACTAACTCTGCTCGATAGCGATCCAAGCTGCGAAACTTCTTGATGCACTCGTTCCATTTGATTCTACGGCTCATGACACCTCCTAAAACGGCTACCGTCAAGGATACACAGTGCGGGTTCAAGCTGTTCTCCCGCAGTGCGCTGCCTTTTATTGTGCCGTACATGCATTCCGAGGGCTGGATCTTCGATGTTGAGATGCTCATGCTGGCTGAGTTCGCTCAGATCCCTGTGGCCGAAGTGCCTGTGGGGTGGAGAGAAGTCAAGGGTAGCAAATTGAATGTCTTACGAGATAGTATTGGCATGGCTTGGGGTCTGGCTGTTCTGCGGGCAGCTTGGTCGCTGGGTGTTTATAGACAGCGTTGATCAGATGAGGAACATGATTGTTCCCACTATTTTCGGACAGTTTTCCATGGCGAATATATTGCATCTTTTACTTGGATTGGATAATTTAATCGGTTCCGATATAGTTCTTGGACTGATAGGCTGGGCACATTTACCTGCCCAAAAGAGCTAGGGGCTCACACGCTTCTTTTCCTAGCAGGTTCTACTCTATTCCTCCTATCAGCAAATGTCTATGGAACGGAAAGGGAAAACCTAGAGAAGCTTCGCTAGATATGTATATGCGATGACGTATCTGTGTATTGGATTGAATAGCTTCCATGTACATGATCCACTAATACGTGGGTCATCCATATAATCATACAATTAACCAAGATTGCATAAGATCTTCAAGCCCATACATCCATGGAAGGATCTAGGAACGGGTTAGAGGTTAACTTTAATGCAATGACTTCATGACTTTGAATATTTGCCGAACTTTGGTAACATGCGGTGAAGTATATGCGCTGAGATATATGTAGCAGGGGATGCTAAGCAAATACTCTACAGTTCTAGTGGGTCGACATCGTGTGATGCTTTACATTCATGTTATGCAAGGTCGTTTACCTTTATGTTCAGCATTGACATTTTCTGTTTCCAATTGGAAAATTCTGACGGTGGCGACACATTTATATGTAGCATATACACCCGGGTGGTACCACTGCCTTTCAAACATAATTCTAATTAATAAAACCATTTTGGAGATCGAAATTTCCCATCATTGCTCTCTCTTATAATGCGAATATGAAGCCAAACCTCACTCCGTCGATATCATCCTCACGGCTCCTCCAACTCCCAGCCGAACTCCGTCTCAAGATCTACGAATATGCACTAGTTGTACCGAACGAGTACCTAGTCAGCAAACCGATGATCGTACTAGGTGATCATGGCAAAACATTCACAGCCCGTGGCCAATACCGAGCATTATCAATGAGTCCTCACTGGGTGGGCGAAGATGGCACCGCACGCAAGTTACTAGCGGTGAACCGCCAACTCCACGACGAAGCCGAAGACTACCTCTACTCCTCGCACACCCTCTTCCTCCGCAACTCCTTCAATCTCGACCGGCTATCCGACTTCCTCAACACGCTCAGCGCAACCGCCCGCGCCCGCATCCGCAGCGTCGGCTTTGAGGTCTTCTTCTTCGTGCATACGCAGACCGGCGTGCCGAAACGCACGCTAAAACAATACGAGGCGGCGGCACGGCTTCTGTCCGAGAAACTTCCCCTATGGAGTAGTGTGCTGCTTTATCTCGATCCACGCTACTATTATCCATCTGCAAACGTGGGTGGTCGGGATCTCACGGCCCGGGGGGTGTTCGATCTCGCTACGCGGTTCGGCGCCTTGTGCAAGGATGTGAGCTTCTATCCGCTGCCGAATGGTGATCACTATTTGCTTGATGAGGCTCGGCAGTTTGTGTGGCGAAGTTGTGTGCCACTGAGACAATCGGATGATCGATCTATTAAGGGATGTTCGGCTTGGTCTTTGGATTTCCAGAAGAAATTGGTCGCGCCAAGCCGGCTGCGGCCCGCGTCATCTGTTTGCTGAGGGTTTTCCCTTGTCGTTTTCTTTATCCTTTTCATTTTTATATGCATCTTTCAGCGCGGACCTCGGCTCTGGTTTGACTTTGCTGCGTCATGACGTCTGAGCGCCGATTATCCCAGTCAACTGCAGGTGCACATCTTTGGCGCAAATGGCGGGATTAGGGCATTCGGGCTGCGTTTTGACTCTTTCTATTCTTATTTATCCCACTAACTACAGGGTGATTTCTAGAGATTTGTATATTGTGCTGCTTGCTCGGTTTGTTCAAATGTTCCTATTGGGATGTATTAGATAGTATTCCCTTTTTTTCACCCATATAGACTAATATATTACATCAAAATAATACCATATCATAGGTCTTATTAATGAGATTTCCTATTAGAGCCCTTTTGACGTCATAAGTTGTGATCAGACACATCAGAATTTCTTTTTGGATTTCCCTTCTTTTCCTATGTAACCTCTTTTCCCCGGACTTTGTGGGGATATAATCAAATCTAATATCTAACTTCTTTCCTTTTCTATCTTCGTACCTGAAAGCTACCCAATTCCTAAAATCTGCCTAACCTGCACCCATTCATCGGCGAGGCTTGACATGCGCCATATTGGGAAGCTCGCATAACCCCGGCATTAGATGGAAGTGCTCTGAGCTCATTGACCGCTTCTAGGAAACTCCACTGGTTCTTGACGTGGAAAGCCAAATCTTTGCAGGTTGGGCACTATCGTGACTATCGTATTACTATCACGGGTATCCCCTAATATATCCTTATCTGCCGATTTGCGATTATCGTGAGAAAAAACAAATCTCGGACATGAAGCCTACCAAATTACTAGACGGCCACGGAAGTCTCTACAAAGAAGTACGCTTCTCTCCGACCGAGACACCCAGCCGTCGCACAAAATCTTTTTCAGCCACATTTCCTCCTGTCATTTCAGGCTACGGCCGAACTGCATTCCAAGACTCCGCGTTGGTGAACTCGTTCACTATGGATACTTCCTATATCGACCAATCGCGAGCCCTCCTCCAGAGCCAACGGGTGAACTTCGAGACGGAGAGGGCATTGTTTGCGCAGGAGCGACGGTTGTGGGAGAAAGAGCGGGCGCTGTTGCGATCGAAGATCGCCGAGCTGGAGGTGTTTGTGAAAAGCCAAGGGAATAAAACAAATCAATTGGGATCGGAAGCGGCCAAGCTTGTACTTGCAGGCGGAGCATCGCAATATAACACAAATGGCTTCGCAGCTCAAGTGTGGGAGGGGACAAGTCCTGGCAATCGACCAACAAGGGTGTTCTTCGATCATGAATCTCCAGACCAAAGCTATCTATCGCCAATCTCCGAAAGTGGGCTGAACCCCCCATCCCTTGATCGGGCCCTTTCACCCCAATCGCTACTAGCAGACGCTTCTGGAGGGCCTGTAAGTCTGCCGGTGCCGATCGAAAAGCTTGACCGTACCCTGGATGGTATCACGCTCAAGTCCACGGCGTTGCCACCTGCCGTGGTGGCTCGAGTGATCACCCCGCCCTCCCCATCGCCCCTAACATCCCCTGGAACTGCCCCTTCAACTGCTGCAAGGCCTCACATGGAACATCGAAACAGTCTCAAACTGAAGCTGTCAGAGCTCGGCCCGCCCAATGAGAACTTGCTTCGCCATGCAGGTCACACCCCGATGGCGATCATCGAAGGCGATGATAGTCGACGGTCCACCCAGGAGGGGTCTCCCATCGAGATTCCCTCCCAGAGCGAGGAGGGCCCTCTTTCGCCCGTGACAACGAACGTTCATCAACCTTCCGAAAACAAGATCTCCTACTTTCCGGATGTGCCAGACGATCCCGCTCTCACGGGGCCCCTCGGTCTGATTAATGATGAGGAGCACGACTCTAATTTTTTGAACGAACTGGACCAGAAACTGCTTGTTCAAGCGAAGAATATTCTGGGTAGCTCGGTTGAATCGGCTGATCCCAATGAGAGTGATTCCGAGTCTGAGTTCCCTCGCCAAGACGAGAAGGAACCTGAAATGAAGTTCAAGAAATCAACTAATTTCGGTACTGCGTTTGGAATATCGAACCCGGGTCAAGGTTAAAGAAACATATATTTCCCACCATCTATCTTGGATCTTTGTGATCTGTGTGTGATAGAGCCTACTATGGCTATTGTTGATCTTTTCATGTTTTCCCTTCTCTTTATGGAGCAGTATATGCTCTTGATGCTGTAGCCTTTTTTTCCCCTTCTTTCTCACCTCTGGCGAAATACCTTACGAGATCATGATCTATGCTGATATGTGCAATACAACCTCATTTGTTTCAACTGTTTCAGATTTATTTCGGGGCAGTCTTTCCAAAGTTGTTTCTAGGCTGCTTGACCTGACAGACAACAGCCCTAGCAAGTTGCATTTGGACTCACCTGTGTTGGAGTTCCTTGCGTGTGATGTGTATGCACTCAATCTTAATCCAATATCCTGATTGGTACCTTCGAAAGTCTCTTTCAGAGAGGGATACTAGTGTCTCTGTGTCTTATTGGCTACTACCCCTTGCATTCATACAACTTTTCTTCCCCATTCGGCCACACGTGTGTTCCTATTCTCCAAGGCACTGTATCTGCATCCCATACAGTAAAGGCCCAGCCAATCCTGTCCTAGCCGGGCTACGACAGCACGGAGGCTCGAGCTCAGGATCAGGCTCGTGCATAACCTTTACGCTGGCTTAGGGCAGGTCTGGTCTCTCGATGGAGCTGCTCCTTACTATTGAACCATATTGCTTGTATGCCCTAATTTCCACCAATTACCTGGTTCTAGACCCCTAAGACCTGATGTCTCTGGTAGTTTATTTCCTCGGTACCTGCCGTTGACTTTGTGCCTTGCAGATCACTGCCCTTGTGGCTTTTTTTTTAGATGAGTGCAACCAAGGACTAGTTCGTGCCTTGCAGAAATCTCCCTATCTGGTCCTATCTGGTCCTGGATAGAGCCCTTGGCTCTCCAATATACTCTTTAAGTGTATACTTTATAGGGATGCCGAAAGGTACATAAGGATCATTGTTCACGCCTACTCTTCTATTTTTCATCCACCAGTCTCCAGTCATTCGCTCATCTGTCTTTGTTCCAACACTCTTTCAGTTCAATCATCTCAGTATTCTCAATCTTCGGATTCATCTAATCAACAACTTCCTCTATCTACCTCTATTCTAAACAAAGAACACAAAACAAATACCGCAACAATGGTCTCCACTACTATCAACTTCTCCGGCCTCATGTGCCTCGTTCTTGCTCTCGGCCCCGCCAACGTCCTCTCCGCTCCCCAGCTGCCCGGTCTCCCATTCCCCGAGATCAGCAACCACGGTCCCGAGACAACCAGCGACGGCCTAGGCAACAGCGAGACCTCCGCCGGCAGTGGCATGAGCGCCAGCATCCCAGGTGGTCCTTATGCGAATCTCGGCGCCGGATTCCACGACGTCCACCGTGGCCCCTGCGGCCCTGACTCAGGCGATGACTGGAGTGCCGGCGCCGGTATGTCCGCTGGTATCCCCGGTGGCCCTAGTGCCAGCCTCGGCAACGGCGTGCACCACCACGAAGATGGCTACCCTTGCCCTGAGCCTCCTGCCCCTGTTGTCGTGCCCGTCACCACTGTCAACCCTCCCGCTGTTGTTGTTGTGCCCACTACCACCGTCAACCCTCCTACCGAGTTTGTTGCTCCTACCACTGAGCCTGTTGCGCCTACTTGGACTGCCATCACTGCCATCCTCCCTCCCACCTTCACCACCCCCATCTCTGCCCCTCTCACCACCGCCCCGGCCGCATGGGCACCCGCCGTCCCCAGCATGCACTCCACCCCTCTGATCCACCACGCCGCACCCACCGCATCGGCCTCGCCTTCCGCTGTGCCTTCCCCCGTGTTCAACGCCGGCTCATCTCTGGTTCCTGGATCCGTCCTCGCATTGGCTCTTCCCGTCATCCTGGCTTTCTTCCAGTAAAGTCCCTGATTCACCTTCTACATTTACCGAATACGACGAAAAATGGCGAAAACGAACCGGATAGACCATCGACCTGTCAGCGAGCTGGGTGGTCTATCTAATGATTGATTGGAACTGTGTATCTCTTGTTTTCACACCTACTCTTCCTTGTCTACTTTTTTCATACTGTTGTCCTCGTCGGCTGGTGTACTCACCCCCAGATTACTTGTACCTTCTGTGCTCATTTATGAGGGCCGATCTTTATTACTTACCTTTTGGCTTCCGGTTGGCTACTGTTGCGGATCCTTGTTCACTTGCTCGTCCGCGCGTGCTTTGCACTATTCGGCGTACTTATGTGGTTTATTGTTATTTGTGGCTCTTGATATTATTACTCTCAGTTCGAATATATTACTCTGAGATACCACGAACTTTCCAGTCCTAGTAGATTTTGTAGTCTCTAGTCTCATCAAACGAAGACCGATATCCATCCACATATCGTCCAACGCATGTAGTATCCACCTATACTACTTAGCGTTATTCACCAAACCGTCTATGCACGAAGAAATAATTGTCAAAACTTGATTTATGACCAGGATGGACTCTACACTGTAGGTATCCTTGCCATGGTTTCTGCCTCGTATATGTATACCGGACTATTCGAAATAGTACCTGGATCATTAATTGAAGACATATGATGTGTATATTGAAAGTATTCCAGCATAAGTATATACGTGCCTAGCTACTATCAAGGGGATGTATATATGTTACAGGATAGCACTCATTTGAGGCATAGCACTTGAGATATATATTAGGCAGTCAATCTGCCGGTCTGATTATCTTACGAGTTGACAGGCAAACTGACACTCGATGAACAGAAGAAACAAGACAGGAAGCAAAATTAAGTTAGTCTGAGGGCTTAGGGATCTTTAACGGTAGATTTGTTGTCTATCGCGGAATCGGCCTCCAAATGGTACGTCCACGCATGGACCTGCAGAAATCATATTGAAGCCGAATCTCGCCGATACTCCCTCGGCTGTAGCTCATATCTTTTCTATTTCTTATAACTTCAAATCATTTCCAACACTGCAATAAAAAAATCATACTACCACATCGGATCATCTCTCCAGATCAAACCCCACAGAAACCTTCCCCCATGGGAGTCAAGGAGCAAGGGGCACGAGGTCGAACTCGTCAAAACACAGCCAAATGTGCCAGTCACGGGGGAATAGAGATGCAACTACTATTCCCAAACCTTTCGTCGCCACATATCGAACATGCTCACATTTTTAAGGGCCCCTTGGGTTGTACCAGCCGGATCTATATCCACTGGACGGTCTTGACCTCTTCACGCTGACATGTGATTCAAACGGTATCATTATGTATTCCGGATTTTCAATACCACCAAGACTGCCATTGCTTCGAGTAGTCCTCGAATCCATGTTCCTCAAGTAACTTCTGAACTTCCCATCGCCACCAATGCACATCTGTCACCGAACTTGGAAGATCCAAACCACTGCTTATTCGAAACTTCGTTCGGATCCACCCCTTAGGAAAGAACCCAGCAGCTTCCCAGTCGATGATGCCAATAGACCCATTTTCCGGGGCATCCTCCACAATAATGTTACCAGGGCCGAGATCGGAATGGTAAAAAACGAATTCAGAGCAGTTCATACCTATCAATTCACATGCTTGTCGGAGATTTTTAGGATGATAGTCATAATCGGCCCCGTACTTGACGAGATACTGCTCAGCAATACCTTTCCCATCCACACCTCCTAGCGTATCGCCTTTCCAGCACTCAAGAGATTCGCAAATTTTCACCACAGAATTCACGTAAAGATGTTTCCAACTGTCATCTAGAGTGGGCCAAGCATCCAAGAGTTCGGCCTGGTACTCTGCTAAGGAAAAGATAGGAACGATCGTTATATTCCGCTGCGTGTAGAATATTAGGTGTCTTAAAGCTGGGTTGCTGTTTCTGCACAAATTCTAGAGTCGTAACTTCTCGTGTTGTATCTTTGACTCGCAATTTGACCTTGCAGAAAGCACTGTTCCCTCAGGACCAGACAGCTGAGCAGTCCCCGGCGTCGTACACAAGCAGAATGGTTGGGTGATTCGCGGGCAAAGGTAGGGATGGGGGTTGAGGATTTGGCGCTTCAGAGAGGTGTAACTCAACCCGTCACCCTGATCATATCACGTTGCAGTATCAAAATATCCGCTGGAATGATGGAGAATAAGGGCACCAACGAGCCATGTATTTTTATCAACCTGCTTGATGGACTCCCTGACAGGGTCTTCCATAGTTTGAAGCTACTTTCAAAAGAAATAGAACAACCGAATCCGTTTTGCGCGTGACGGTGATGAGGGCTTTATGTACCTTTAAAAATTGTTGAGGTGTGAATGGGATTGTGAGGAGGGAACATGTTGGATATACCTTTGGAGCAGCTTCCAAGCTTGGTCCTTGGGTTGCGTGGCAACCGGACTTTTTAGTCACCGTGTATGTTAAATATGAGAGACCTCCAGTTAGTTAGTACTACCGTTGCTAAAACATCCTTGCAGAGAAAAGAAACTCGGTTTAATTTCTCATCATTTAGGTGCAATGCAATATGTCTACTCTTGAATCTTCAGATATTGTAGTAGATTTGCCATGGGAAACTCCCGAAAGCTAGCGAAGATAATACAAAGCAAAAGCAACCCACGAAGGGGGAAAGGAAAATTATCCGTGCGCCAAGAAACAGATTAACGCCAAACTCATGTCATGTTATGCATATCACATTTCAAAATTCGAGAAGGGAGCAGGTCGCCAGATCTCAGCCATTATCCAATCTAATTTGGCTGAGTATAGCTGCCCAGAGTAAGAATCAGATCAGACGAGTCTGGATCCAATCCAAAGAAATTATACTCCCATTGTAAAGTCGTGCTCAATGCCCGGCGTCACACTAGCAATGAACTTGAGGAACACAACCAGGTACTGGTCTACCCGGATGGCGACCTGTTCTTCCTCATCGTGTTGCAGCATCTCCCACTCGTCCCCGCCAGGCTGTGCGTGGTGGGAGTCCCCGAGTGACAGATTGTGCGTTCCATCCACCAAGCCCTCCAATCCGCCGCCTGCCCGAAGAACACGGTTCGCTTCCTCGCGGGACTGTGTCTGCTTGAGCTTGTCGCGGCGAAGCTTGAGTGCGGCATCAGCACGATCCAAAAGCGTCTTCATCACAGACGCATGGCGGCATGGGTGCACACTGGCCATCTTGACACTGCCCTCGAACCATGGGAAGTCCTCTAACGTCACGGTCTTATCTTTGTAGTCGCCGACAATATCCTCCATCATCAGATGTGGCGGAAGCGGTTCGGATGGCGACAAATAGCCGGACAAGTACAGGCGAGGTGTGCGGTAGAAGTTTGAGTAGGTAATGTAAAGGGTATAAGTGCGGAGAGATCTGGAGCGATATCAAGTTAGAAAAGAGAGAAAGGCGAAGTTGAGGACAGGGAAATGGCACTCACTGTGTCCCTGAATGATCATCCGTTTCTCGGATGATGGCTTCCTCATCATCGTCTTCATCCTCCATATCGGGGATATCATCATCATCCTCCTGCTCGCCCAGATTGCCGGATTCATCGACAGTTCGTACGTCGCGGATCCGAGCTTCTTGCTTATCACGGTCTGCGCCAGCGTCGCGGCCACCACCAGTCCGCAACCACCCGTCCCCTCCATCGTCGGCTGCTGTGTCTTCGCCACCATCACCGCCCGAAAGGAAATCCCTCACAATCTCATCCTCGAGCCCTGCATCTCCAGCAAAGTTGTCATTCAGTCGTCGATGACAGGGTACTCCACGAGTGACCAAGAACTGCTTGCCGTCTGGAAGGTAGGATACGCGCTTTGCCGGACTTGATGCGTCGGCCCATGACCATGTGGGGAACTTGTAAACTAGATAATCTCCGGCGAGAACAAACTCCTCCGGGGTGATTTGGCCGGTGTTGCGGAAGGTGGAAGTGCGTGAGACCGGGGCTAGACGGTCCCGCCAGGTTGATAGTGTAGAGTGTAGGATATTCATTGTGTTTCACAGGTGAGGGTGAAGAAAGAGATACAAAAGATACAAAAGAAGCGGCGGGGGAAGTAAATGATAAGCGGTGGAGCACATGATCCGCCCCGCGTCCACGGGCGTCATTTTGATGGTTGCACGTGATAGTAACTATGTACCTTATTTTGTTTAGCTGAAAGGATAAAACGATATATGTATTCAATAAGCATTATCAATCCAGGCTGGAAAGACATATATACTGTATTAACATGTCATACAATATAAGAAAACGGATGTAGTTTCTTCTTATCTTGATCTATGACCGAAGAGCTCTATACCATGAAGCCATAGCCTTCTATTTGGATCCCTAGATAGTTTTAGACCGAGAGTAGAGCTAGCGTGCAATATGATCTGATGACTTCTTTCTTACATATACATATAATGGAAGATAAGACCTCTGTATGAACACACGACTCACTCCGCTTCCAGTGACTTCACCCAACAAACTGTTCTAGCTCAACGTCCTTCTATTTCTTTTGAAATATATACTTCTTCTGCCTAGAAGAAAAGATATGACTTGGGCATATAGATCTTTTTGTATCATGTATGAAGAACTACGGTATTTGCCCTAATAGAGGGAGAGCAAACGCCATCTCTGTATAAAATCCTAGTTCTTCTCGGAGATTTACTCTATGTACTACATATATGTCCAAAGATAGGGCTTTATGTTCCATAGCACCATTAACCTTTAATTCTAGGTACTGTATCCCACCTTGTATGCAAGAATATATGAAGCTGAGGCTTGGAATGAGCGCACTTGTTAGTATTCAACACCTTAAGATATCCAGACATGAATCATGCCTCCGCAAAGCCCATAAATGGGCCCAGGTTCGGGCACAAATCTCAGCCAGCAGTGGGCTATTGGCCTAATCTTCGAAGCCCAACCCAACCCAATGGCAATGGGCCCCCATCAAAGGTTTGACTAGTATCTTGTAATCGTTGTATTCTGACCCTTCTACTAGATTTATAGGGTTTAAAATTGGAATTTAGAATTACAATAGCCATATAAGTTTATATTCTAATTTTAAATAAAATCTGACTAGTGGATGTTGAAAAAAAGGTTAATATTGAAGTTTTGATATAAATTTATAAAATTCACACGGGAGTGAGTACCAGCACTTTCTACGTGAACCTCTATAATTCAAGACTTATCTAAATAACGCATTCATTTCGCGTGTTTAAACGTAATATATAAATCTAGCTAGTTATTAATAACGTATTAATTAAAATAATTAAATATCACCCTAATATAAGGTCTAAAAACGGGATCTAAACATATAAGGTAATTAAAAAATGTCACGTTGTTCGGAACATGATGGGCTTTCACCCCGGGCCTGAAGCCCAGCCCATTAGTGGGTTGGGCGGGATTGGGCGGGGTTGGGCTTTGGGCTTTGTGGGCTTTGCGGAGGTCTAGGCATAATGCATGTCGACGTTTGCTCTTTTACAAATGCGTCTTGTTTGCCATGAAACCCATGACTTATAATTACATCGCGAGTGGCTTGATTTCCCCCAAAAAATATATTGTCTTCCTTTCCCTTGCACACTTAATATTGTGGCCAGCCTGAGGTTCGATCAAACTTATCTCTCTTAGTAAGGAATTTCTCCATTTACCTAGAGCTATTCTGACATGACTATACATATTGTAGCCAGATACACTAGCTGAGGATTCATTTCGCCCCTCTACGATCATGGTGGGCCGTGGAAATCGACGATTCCGAGGCCAGGGCCATACCAGCAATCGAGGCGGTTCGAATAACTTCGGAAGGCGTAACCAAAGTGACAAGATATGCGGGGAATTCCAGCGTGGCAATTGCACATATGGCCCAGCTTGCAAGTTCTCTCACGACTTGACAAGAGCTGGCGGATCTAATCACAATCCCATAGCTGATGATTCAAGCTTGCGGAAACGATATTTTGACTGGAGAAAGATACTGAGAAGGAATTTCAGCAGTGCCAGATCTTACAGAGGACACGAAGAAACTCTTCGACTTTGGAAAGGGGCGATCGAAATCCTCAATAGTGAAAATACAGGGGACCAACAGCTCGTTGTGAGAGACCTCGTGGATGACGACCTTGATGGATACGGGTTCATCCTGGCAACGATTGATACAACTGGCCAAGATTTGAGTCGCGGTATTCCTGGATATGTTGAGCCGTTTCTCAAAGTCATTACCCATTCTTCTCTCTTGGATTGCCTCTCTGTTGATTCATTTGTTGGCACTATGTACGCAACCTTTGGCGGCCCGAATGGAGATCGAGCAATCGGGTTTCTGGAAAGTGTTTGTCGCTGCATGATAAACAGCTGTGAGCAGAAAGACAACAGTCGGACTCTCGTGACTCCAGAAATGGTGAATTTGCTGTTGAATGCCTTGTATCAGCTTCTATACAGGGTCCGGCGGGCAAGATTTCCTTATTTCTTCCTTCACTTCTCGACTCACTGTATGATTTGGTCCACGAAATGACCGAAGTATGCACCAAGGCCAACCTTGAAGCGTTTGACAACAGAATAGAAACCATGCGAAATGTGATCACAAGTGCACACCGCAGTCTTGTTCCAGTCAAATTGCATGAAGAGAACGGTCACAGGACTGGTGCTGGGGTAGCTCAATTGACATTTCCAATGGACATGGAAATCCCTGGTGGCAGACACGACAATGACCTTACAGAAATCTCAAAGATTCGAATTCTTCCCACACAAGGAGAAATTGTCAGTGATAGCTCGGAATATCTACCCTCAACCAATTTCTCTCAGCCGCACTTCATCACGGATCCTATGCTAAGATACATTGACTCCACATTCCGACTTCTGCGCCATGACATCTTCGGTACTGCCAAAGATGTGCTTCGAGACCTACTACAGCAAGATGGTCCCACGCCCTACTTATCGAACAAGGATAGCAGAGCGCATATCTACATGGCATCACACGTCCAGCATATCTCTGTTAATGGAAGAAATGAGCTCGAAGCGACGGTATCCTTCTCTGCCCCGTCACAACTGCGCAAAAAGTCTATTGTCGAGCAATGCAGATGGTGGAAAGATTCTAACCGACTAGAAGAAGGGAGCCTGGTGTGCTTTTTGACTTCTGAAGGCACCAAAAAAAGGCTGCTTTTTCTCGAAGTGACAACCAAGTGCTCCTCCCAAGAACAAACGAATAAAGAAAAGAGCACCCTTGTCTCTGATCGGTATCCACCTAGCGTTACAGTGAAGCTCGCGGCATGTTTGCAGCAAGAACTGAATCTCCTCGGTCAAATCTACAGTGAGAAGATCCCAGGTACTCTGGTTGACTTCCATGGTCTCATTCCTGCAACATTTGCACCAATACTGAGGAATCTTCAGCATATCCAGCGTGAGGGGGAGTTGGCATTCCAGAAATGGATTTTGCCAGGCCGAAACGGGGACAAGGGGAGGACCAATATACCCCCACCAGCATATGCACGAAAACTGGGATTTGTCTTTCCCTTCCTTTCGATCGTAAAAGATCGAGCTCAAGACATTAAGCTAGACCCCAATTTCCCAGAGTCTCTTGACCTCAAAGAGCTGGAAACTTTGACTGGTCTCGACCTTGGACAGTGCCAGGGACTTGTTGCTGCTCTCACACGAGAATATGCCATGATCCAAGGCCCACCGGGCACGGGAAAGTCTCATGTTGGGGTCAAGCTTGTTCAAGTTCTGCTCTCTACCAAAGTAAGGGCAACGCTTGGGCCAATTATCGTGATGTTAGTATTGTTCTACACATCTTCCATGGACCAACTTATATGGCTAACTTGACTGATAGGTGTTACACCAACCATGCCTTGGACCAGTTCTTGAAGCATCTTCTTGCTGTTGGTATGCAAAAAATCATACGCATTGGAGGCCGCAGTCAGGCCACTGAGCTGGAAGGCAAGAACCTTCGCGTTGTTAGCAGCAATATCGGCAAGACAAGAGTAGAGTCACAAACCCTTGGTCAAACTTACAGTGAGCTCGAAGAATGCATGAAAGTAGCCGGGTATTCCATGAAGCCGCTACATCAGTCTCGAAAGGGCCCGACCTGGAAAGGAATGCAGCACTTTTTGCGCGACAATTGGCCCATGATACACAGACAGCTGGATCTAATGGATGCGGAGGGATTCCAGGTGGTCACTGGTGATCCCCTGTTGAACTGGCTGGGAGTCAAATCGATGAATTTCTCGAAAGCCGAGGATGTGGATGAGGGGGACAATGAACGCTTGGAAAGCCTGACACGCACTGCTGAGCGAAATATCTATCACCTCTCGAAGTCAGAGCGCCGAACTCTTGCAAAGAGCTGGTTTAAGGAATGGTGCGAAAACGAGAGTGCCTCATTGTTTGAGGCGGTCAATAGCGCTGAGAGGTTGCGTGAAAAAATCAACGCCGTTCATGATGAGCTAAACAGGCGAGCCCTGGTTCAAGCCGACGTTGTAGGCATCACAACAACGTCCCTTGCGCGAAATATCGAGACATTACGCCACATAGGCGCAAAGGTCATCATGTGTGAGGAGGCAGCCGAGGTGATGGAAGCCCATGTCATTTCATCACTCATGCCGGGCGTGGAGCATTTTATTCAGATTGGGGATCACCGACAATTACGCCCGCAAATTCAAAATTACTCGCTTAGCCTTGAGTCATCATCTGGAAAGGCCTGGCAGCTGGACCGGAGCCAATTCGAGAGGCGTGCTGTCGGCGAGCCAGGCCTCAGTCCTGCGCCTGTTGCACAACTCAATGTACAGCGAAGAATGAGACCCGAGATTTCGCAACTCATTAGAAGAGTCTACCCAAGGCTCCAAGATCACGAAAGCGTGATAAATTTACCCAATGTCGTCGGAATGCGAGAGAACGTCTTCTGGCTAGACCATCGACGCGATGAAGACACGAGAGAAGAGGACGTTCGTGTGAAGTCACATAGCAATCAATGGGAGGTCGATATGGCAACCGCTCTTGTGCGCCATCTTGTCCGACAGGGAGAGTACAGCAGCACGGATATTGCTCTGCTAACTCCCTATACCGGTCAACTGCGGAAGCTCAGGGCATCGCTCAGCAAAGATTTTGAAATATGTCTCAGCGAGCGGGATTTAGAGACCTTGGCAGCCGAGGGCCTTGGAGTGGACACAGATGAACCTCTTCAAGCAGGATCTCACAAACTAATCGAGAGGAAAACACTCCTTCAGACACTCCGCCTGGCTACCGTTGACAACTTCCAAGGTGAAGAGGCAAAAGTGATCATCGTCTCACTAGTTCGGAGCAACTTGAAACGTAAAGTTGGCTTTCTACGCACCGAGAACCGCATCAACGTGCTCCTCAGTCGAGCACAGCACGGGATGTATCTGATCGGAAATTCCGAGACCTATCTCAATGTCCCAATGTGGGCTGATGTTCACGCTCAACTCGCCCGCACGAATGCAGTCGGCACGGAACTGGCTTTATGTTGCCCCCGCCACCCAGAAGTGCCTATCCTCTGCTCTGAGCCTCAAGAGTTTGAGAGAAAGAGCCCCGAAGGCGGATGCAACCTCCCATGTACCCGTCGTCTCGAGCAATGTGGCCACCAGTGCCAGGCAAAATGTCATTCATCGTTCATGCACCATGGTTTTGCATGCTGCAAACCTTGTCCTCGAATTCGACAGACCTGTGACCATGCATGCCCTAAGCTCTGTGGTACAGAGTGTGGTCTTTGCATGGTCCAGATACCCGACGTGATTCTTCCCTGTGGCCATCTTAAACAGACGCTCATGTGCCACCAGATGCGAAACTTGGCATCCATCAAGTGTGACGTCAAAGTCGATAAGACTGTTACCAAGTGTGGCCACGTTCTCCGGATCGCTTGCTTCATTGATGTTACGTCCGATATTTTCAGTTGCACTGAGCCATGCACCGAGATTCTTGGATGTGGTCACAATTGTGGCGGTGTCTGTGGACGGTGCCTGAAGAAAGGCGAAAACGGTGTCGTATCGTTTGAACATTCAAGATGTACAAAAAGATGCGATCGTCCACATGGCGTCTGCAATCACAGGTGCCTCAAGGTATGCCATGACGGCGAAAGCTGTGGCAATTGCGAAGCCAAGTGCGAGGTGAGTTAAAATGTTTCGGTTTTTCTTGTCACCATACTGAGGATGTTAACACCAAAAAGGTTCGATGCTCTCACTCGGCCTGTGCCTGCACCTGCGGAAAGGCATGTGCCCCATGCATCGAAAGATGCACTTGGGTTTGCCCCCATGAGGGTTCCTGCTCAATGCCTTGCGCAGCACCCTGTGATCGACTTCCGTGTGATGAGCGATGCACCAAAATTCTCGACTGCGGTCATCGGTGTCCAAGTCTTTGCGGAGAGGACTGTCCAAGCGGTCTATGCCAAGAATGCGGCGATAAGCCAGACGCCCGTGTCGATTTCCTTGAATGGAAATCTTATTCTGAAATCGACCTCGATGAGAGTCCAATTGTCGTGCTCGGGTGTGGCCATTTCTTTACCAGCGAGTCGGTCGATGGTCTAGTCGGCCTAGATGAAGTGTATACAAGGGATGGATCTGGCAAATTCAACGGCCTTCAGGATTGTTCTACTTCTCTGGCCAGCACCATACCATCGTGTCCTGACTGTAAACAACCCATTCGTCAGTTCGTAACAAAGCGATACAATCGTGTCATCAATCGAGCTGTTATGGACGAAACATCCAAGCGTTTCTTGACGAAAGGACGCCTCGACCTTGAAAGACTTGATTCTCGTTTGAACACCATCACGGACGAGCTTGTTGCCAAAGCCAAGACAGTGCAACCGATCAGCCTTACCAAAGCACAGATCAACACACGATACGGAGCCTTTGTCGACCTTGCAAAGGAGGCTGCAGCACTCAGTAAACTGATGGATGCAGAGCATCAACCGGCGAAGCGACTCATGGATGCTATTGCTTTGCGCCAGAAACCATCGGATGGCAAAGATATCTCCATCTCGAGCCAACTTGAAGGGTTGAGAATATCAACTCCAAGACCTGACAACCAGATAACTCTCGGGGCACGATTGATCTCTATCAAGGCCCGAGAATTCGTTCTTCACGATAAGTTCAGGCTCTTGAATCCAAACGCAATAATTGAGGAAACAATCCTTGTTGTTCAGCTTAATCAGCTCACGATACTGTTCTTGGAGGACTGTCGGGACTTGATCATCCAAGCCAAGGGTGGCAGCCTCTTCCGTATTGTCATCACGGCAACGCTTGCGTTTGCTAAAATATCCGAACTATTCGGATGGTACCATCGCACTCATCTAGTACCCACAAATGGTAAACTTACTCAAAAAGGACGGAATAGCACCGGGTTAGAATCGCGTGATGACCGCAGGAATATGGCACGTGAGTTCCTTGCCGATGCTTTGCATCTATGCGGTCAATTGGGCAATTGTGAGGAGCTTCGAGAGAGGGTTCAGGAAATGATCCGTCTATTTGAGAGTACTCGATACGAAGAGGTGACGCCAGAGGAACTTGCATCCATCAAGGTTGCCATGGTTGACGGGCGAGGAGGCATGGCGACCAACTCTGGGCACTGGTACAATTGTATCAACGGACATCCTGTGAGTTGAATATGCTGAATATCCGAGGTCTTCCTCTTAACGAGGTACATAGCTAACTGTTTCTGTTTTTGTTCAGTTTGCCATTGGCGAATGCGGTATGCCGATGCAGCTAGCGAAATGTCCTGAATGTGGAGCGAGTATCGGAGGACGAAATCATCAGGCAGTTGAGGGTGTCTCTCGAGCGGAGAATATGGAGTAGGATGGAAAAATCTTATGTCATTCAGTTATGATCAGCAATTTACCTAGCTATCTTTTGTCAGTTGAGTTTTGGAATAGCGTTCATCTACTTTGATTGTTATGGCCACAAGAGAAAGTATAGTATGTAACATTCAGGTTCAGCTTGATAGCCTGCAGAATTCCCTGGCGATGTCCAAAGCCGTGGAAACAGCTAATCTTCTGGCCCCATGTTCGACCACATCCACAGAGACAAGGCCGTTTAGTGCTGGGTGTCGTTAGAATTCCTTCTGGGTGGAGCAGGATCTCGCAAGCCTTCTCGCTGTGAGGCCTTCTGTCATCAGGTAGCGTTCCTGTCACCTTACAGTAGAGGAATTAGTAGATAGCGTGCTAGCTTCTACCAGAACATCCTTCGCAGTAGACCTTTGATCTTGAAATCTGATTTTCTTAGCAAAAGTCAAAGCGCAATCATTCACCCTCCTCCATCATTCGCCGTCGCTCAATTTCTGCATCCACTTCATCTACTACCATAGGAATAGCTTTATTCTTCCATCGACTGACCTCGGCCCGCATAAAACCTTCTGTACTCTTCATACCTACGACCAAAAAGCCCAGCTCTTCACGATCGACATCAAAGACCTCCCACCACTCTCCATCCACAAGCTTGACCTCCTCCTCGCGCGAAGCGAGATAGATGGCAGCCACAGCCAGGGCATTTGGTTGGTGGGTGACATAAAGAAGCTGGGATGAGAGTAGTGCCGCATTGAGGTGCTGAATGACCCGTTGAGCAACAGCGGGCTTTGCCACACCCAAAGTTTGAAGATATGTCAAAGCAATGGTATGCGGTAGAGCGACATGTGTATCAAAGCCGAGAGTACGGAGGATAATGGTTTCGGTGCGGAGGAGGACTAAGCGGGCGGACTGGTAGCCTCCCTCGGACAGGATATATGTTTCAGGAGATGGAGGGGTTTCAGGAGCCCCGCTCTGCCGCACAAACCACAAGGGCGATGCATCTTGCGACATGAGGAATGTGTAGACATTGAGGACGGAGCGTGGGGAGGTTGGTTGAAAGGAAAGCTTAGCCGTCAGGTACAATGCTGCGGCAGATACATCCTGCTCCGATTAGTGAATTAGAAAAAGAAGATTCAGAGCTCCTGGAGCTGGTCTTACCTTGACTGAATAGATTCGTAAGCTACCCCCGTCAGCGCCAAGCCAAAAACGCGTGAAGATCACGACCGCCTGGGCAATTATATCTTGCGACAGGTGTAGGAGGACCCCGGCAGTTTGAGTAAGCTGGGCGCCCGCACAACGAATGGAGGTTTCGAGGTCAGTTGGGACATTATCGATCGAGGATGAAGAGTTCGACAGTTGGTCGGGCGTTGCCAGGGCATTGGATAAATGCTTCAGACCGGGAGCCATGACGCTGGGAGTTTGCAGAAAACGTGCAATGACGCGGATCCTCGTGCAGCTGAAACCATGCACAGCGGGAGCGGGAAAATAGGCGATGACGGTATCAACGAAAGAAGTCTAGTGGGAGGCAATGCTTTTAATTAATCAGATTGGAAAGGAAGCTGTTGGTGGATCGAGGGTGGAGAGAGCTCCAGGCCGTTCAGCCACCGCTATTTCATAACCCCAGCCTCTTGTTTTCCTGTCGCCAATTCTTTTTTGGGGTCTTTTTCCGTTTCAAATTCCTAAGAAAATAAGACCCGCTGTGAAACACGAACTCCTCAAACTACCTGTACCCTTTTTTCGTTCGATATTGAATATATCCCAGGGGTCTGTTTCGTCCTTGATTAGCCTACATACCTCTACTGCAAATCCCCCCAAGGTTGCACACCAACGCCACATTGGGCTCGAATCGACGTGGCATTCCCATCCTGTCTGCTTCTCCTGTCGAAGTACCCCCTCAGAACATGTCTCTCGATCTCTCTCACGCACCTGTCACCCTGCATTCCGATGGCACGCCACCTCGCGAGACCGTTGCCTTGACGCCCCCAAGATCGGCGGTTCATCTAACTTCACGAAATCACTTTAACAATCTGCCTTCACATCGTCGGGCAAACACTGAATATATTGCAAGGCCACCACTCTTTGAAGAGGGTATCAAAGACACGATAACAGGCCCGAAGAATACCACTTGGACGGAAACCTTCCCCAAGAAGAAGCTTGAAGCAAGAGCTAGGGTCTTGTCAGATTGGTTTCAGGGGAAATCAGATCCAGTCGAGTTGGGACTGAAAATGGGCGCCAACAATGCTTCAGATGCCCCCGGATTTGATTCCCGTCCAGCTCCAACATCCATGTCGCATACGAGGCAACACTCGACCCCAACGAATCGATTTTCATTCTTCGGCCTCCGGCGACAACCGAGCAAACCTAACTTCCCGGAACCGGCAGATGATGAGTTTTTGAACCTAGACATCACTGCCGCCCTCTCACTACCTGAAACCGATGATACCAACGATGAGGCACTGGATGCCCTCCGAGATCACGCCGACAAAGTGCTACGACGCATGCAGGAGGCCTATAAGCAGCGCACCTTCGCCATGCACCGGGCATTGGTGGACAAGAACGAAAAGCAAGAGGAGCTCGAAGAGACTCGCGCTAGAGTCGATCACCTTAAGATGCAGCTAGACGGCGTGGCCGCCAAGGTGCTTGATCAAGAGAAAGCCATGCAGGCCATGGCTGAGGAACTGGAGCAAGAGAGACAAATGCGAAAGAACGAGGAATCCCGCAGTCGGAGTGGTGCAATTCGTACCGTGCATCCTGATGATGACGTGCCTTCCATGGCGCTCCAAACCCCTCGGCGTGGAGGCAAGCGTGCTAGCCACAGCACCTTCACCAGCGACTCGGGCTTTGAGTCTGGTGATGAGAGCGTTGCCGATAGCATCTTCTCCCAGCGTGAGGGTCTCGAGTCTCCCACCTCGACGCTGACAGCACCGTCCCCCAACATGTCGCAGATCGCCCTGTCTACGCCGACGGGCCCGATGCCAACGCCTACAATCCAGAAGAACTTGGTCGCGGTCACGAGTGCACCTCCACCTGCACGCTCATCGGCATATGATCGGGTGTTGAAGGGCATTGCTTCAACGCGTTTAGGTAGCTCTTTCGCTGGTAACGGCAACGCGTCCAATTGCAACATCTGCTATGGCGTGCTGGCTTCCGAGGCCTGGAGTGTGATGGGTATTTTACAAGATGAGAATCGGGGTCTGAAGACACGATTGGGAGAGCTCGAGGTCGTCATTGATGATTGTCTAGGTCTCGTTGGACCTTGAAGCTAGATTTTCTTTTGGCAATATTATATTCTTTATAGAATGCTGGCATATATACAACCAAAGCAGTTGAAACATTTATTTGGGCATGGACGCCAATATTATTCCAACTAGTTACCCCATATGTAGACCGTGTAGTCGGGGCCGTACCGATCGCGTAGTTTACCGTGGCCTCTGGAATGTGGGGATAGCTTGGAGCCCGGCTTTTGGGAGCACAACACATCGGACTTGAAAGATTAGGAAGGAAAAAAAATGTCCGGAGAATTGAATTGGAGCTCATATTAGTGTAGTTATCTTCAAATATCCCGTTACTTTTTTGGTTGAGTCACCAAGTTGGTTGTTGCGGCGAAGACCAAGTGGCCTTAATTAGCGCGGAAGCGAAAAGTGGCCAGCGAACTTCTGTCTTCTTCTTCCCTCCTCCTCCCCCATCTTCTCAACAACTTCACCTTTTCTCCTTTTTGTTTTATTTCTCTTAATATTTCACTTCCATTCCTTTAGCTGGTTTTCGACTCCAGCTTTCTTTACTTCTTTAACGGATTGGGAGGAAGATAGCCACGATGAGCGGCCGTGAGTCCCCCCGAACCGTTGTCTCGCACGTCGCGACAATCCGTCTCGAATCGCCCTCAATTGATCGTCAAATGCTGACGGAGGAACTTAGTACGCTTCCTTGACTTGATCAAGCCCTTTACGCCCCTCCTCCCGGAGGTGGCAGCTCCTGAGACCAAGGTGCCCTTCAACCAGAAGTTGATGTGGACTGGTGTATGTCGCCCCGAACCCGCTCTCTCCGCGCGAAGTCGGCTTGAATTCTAACGGAATTACGTTGCAGTTGACTTTGATGATCTTTTTGGTCATGAGTCAGATGCCTCTTTACGGCATTGTCTCCTCCGACACTTCGGACCCCCTGTACTGGCTCCGTATGATGCTGGCCAGTAACCGGGGTACTCTGATGGAGCTGGGTATCACCCCTATTATCTCCTCCGGCATGGTCTTCCAGGTATGCGATTCCAGAACACTCTCGTATCATTATTTGCGGCAATTGTACTGACACATCTTGTTCTCCAGCTCCTTGCCGGTACCCACCTCATTGATGTCAACCTCGACCTGAAGACCGACCGCGAGCTTTACCAGACCGCCCAGAAGCTTTTCGCTATCATTCTCTCCTTCGGCCAGGCCTGTGTCTACGTCCTGACTGGACTCTACGGCCAGCCCAGTGACCTTGGTGCCGGTATCTGTGTTCTCCTCATTGTCCAGCTGGTTGTGGCTGGTCTTGTTGTTATTCTGCTTGACGAACTCCTCCAGAAGGGCTACGGTCTGGGCAGCGGTATCTCCCTGTTCATTGCCACCAACATTTGCGAGTCGATTGTCTGGAAGGCGTTCTCCCCCACGACCATCAACACCGGACGTGGCCCCGAGTTCGAGGGTGCTATCATCGCTCTCTTCCACCTTCTCCTGACCTGGCCCGATAAGCAGCGCGCCCTGTACGAGGCGTTCTACCGCCAGAACCTGCCCAACGTCATGAACCTCTTGGCTACTCTTCTTGTCTTCGCCGCTGTCATCTACCTCCAGGGCTTCCGTGTTGAGATCCCCGTCAAGTCTTCCCGCCAGCGTGGCATGCGCGGCTCATACCCCGTTCGCCTCTTCTACACCTCCAACATGCCCATCATGCTCCAGTCCGCTCTGTGCTCCAACATCTTCCTTATCAGTCAGATGCTGTACTCCCGCTTCTCTGAGAACATCCTGGTCCAGCTTCTCGGAG